ATGTAGAAGAATAATCTACTTACCTAAAACGAAATTATCAATTAATCAAAAACCGAATTACGCCGTAACCGCTCGACGGTTACGAGAACTCAAATCTGACGCTAAAATTTTTATACAAACCTACGCTGAACTAACTAAAAGGAATCGCGTGTCATTTTCGTACTCATTAGCTAGAACTCTAGTGGCTATCAAAAATCAATTGTTTTGATTCGAAAAGTTTTGATTGGACGCAATTTTGAGAGGAAATTGCATATTAGGCTGCATCCGGCAGCTGGGTACGGGTGAGAATTAGAGATGCTGGATGCGTCAAAACCTTTTTTTACTTGTATGAATTAAATGTTATTAAAAGTGCTTCCTATCATATTTTACGTCGTGTCACAGATTCGAAGCGATTAATATTAGCTAGATAGTTATAACAATCGTCTTTAGCCGACCAGAGAGCAACTGAAGTCTGAACTCAATAATCGATTCAACGCACTACTGAAATATTGATTGATGTGTCAAAACTCAAAACACATTGGCAATACACACGTAAGATGATTGTGATATCGCGCGTTGTTGCCATTCTAATAAAACAAATGACATCGTGTTCTCTTATTACATTATCTCAGACATATTTATTATTATCGCTTAAAATGACGAATAATAAACAAAGACAAAGCATCAAACACACACTATTTTTAAAAGTAAATGTTCAGGATTTAAAACATATCTTAATAAAACGTTCACGTAGCATTCAAAATCCCACATTGTAATACTTTCGTTCTGTTTGTTACATAAACTGCAAAAGTTAACTAAACATACTTTCAAGATTAGTTTGTGTGTAATTCCAAGTAAAACTGCTGGGCCAAGTTTATTTACTGATATTTATAGCTTATACTTTATTTGTTTTCATTATTTATAATTTTTTTTGTACCTTATTTTAAATAAATGTGTGCGTGTACTAGGTGTACACACGTAAGAAGTGAAACTTATATAAAACCTTTGTTGTACGCAGAGCCATAATTGGTTTGTTTTAAGTTTAGAGGTCCGAAACTATTTCTTTAAACACAGTAAATTTTGATACACTGCCTAGCATACAATTTACAAATTAATTGCTGCAAATTGCGATTAGCAAATTTCAAGTCGAAAATGTAATCCGTTGTCAAACTTCAAAGTCAAAAACATACTATATGTCATATTTTAACGCCGATAAAGAAGTTTGACTTCGAAAATGTAATCCGTTGTCAAACTTCAAAGTCAAAAACATACTTTATGTCATATTTTAACGCCGATAAAGAAGTATGACTTCAAAAAGCAACATGGCGCGTAACGGAAAAATGTGACTCTAAATTTTTTTCCAACCCCGATAAAGAAGTTTCACTTCAATAATTTAGTCTAAAAAAAAATAAAGTTTAATGCTATCAATGTTGTGTGATGGTAAAGTTAAAAGAATTAGGTAACTTAAAAATCGATTGCCTTGTATTTGTTTATCTTTTTAAACAATGTACAAAGCCGGATAGATTAAAATGATAAGATTTATCACGTGTTTCTCTCAGTAATTCCTTGTTTCCTAGCGCTAACTGAGCCACGTGGATCATCTAGTATATAATCTTTATATCTGTAAACACCGGAGGACAGTTGTATAAGTTTAAATAGGATTTTCCTGTCCGCAACGTCCCGGTTTATTTTAAAACGAGATAAAATATCTAAGCATACACAGACATTCGTTTTTATTTTTGCTATGGCTTAATCTGTGGTGCTGCATAAAATCGTTGGAAGAATATAATATATACAAAAATCACAATGATACCTCTCTCGCTTAATCTTCTCGTACTCGTTTCTCATGAACGGGCGCTACTTGTGGTGACTGGTCGTACTTGAATTCGTGTATACGGTGATGTTTGTTATTTCGGCTATATTGTGTTTGCATGTTGTTCCCACGGGAATGTAGGTGCGTGATCCTATTTCACCATGCTTCCTGCTAATAACAAGTCTTTGTTTTTGATTTATGTTATTATTATTAATTACATTAGATGTCATGTGGAACATGGTGTAATGGTTGCCTTACAAACGTTGTGTAAAAAAAACATTACGATTAAAAAGAGTGGCGAAGATTTTATTGCCAGTTCTTCTCTTCCATTCTACACCCTTGATTTGAGAACTGGAACTAAATGTAAAGTTAGAAGCATTTCATAAACATTTCTTTTTTTGACGTTCATAAGTGTACATTGTGTTACCTATATGATTAAATGATTTTTGACTTTTGACTTTTCTTTCATGACATTCATTATGCATGTTCGTCGGTTATGGGTACTTTTGGGGTTTGGTCCAGGTGGTCCAAAAGTACACACCTGTTAAGGCCTACCCGACTCGACCTCACCATCCACGGTTGCCTTGTATATCTTACTCTTAAGCCGCTTCTCATTCATCTGTTCTACATAGCCAAACCACCTTAGGATTAAATTTTGTATCAACGGCATTTATTCTACTTTCCCACACCCAACATCGACTAGGTACTAAAATATTCCTTAACCTCTATAAATATTAATTTTTCTTACTTCTCGCGCTGTGCAACCTAAATTTCTTCCTAACCACCTTCCTAACGATCTTCCTCCGCTTCCTATCCTGTGCCACTTCTCACCAGTTACTGGTTTATTTTCTATTTTATCTATTATTATTTATATAAAGTACAATTGTAAGTATAAGCACAGTCAACCAAACATGGCGGCGGACGATGTTGCCATAGTAAAAACAAATCTATGGAAACTTTCCACAGAGCCAATACGTATTAATTAAATTTATAAAAGCCTAAACCATAAACTCATAAATCATCCAGGATAACCATGTAAAAATGTACGTTAGACGTTGCAGTCTTCAGGCATTTCAATTTCCATAATAAATGTTTCATACAGGTGAAAATATTTTTGTAATGAAAACACGAAGTAAAGACCACATTATGTAAATGGAATTTTAGCCTAAACCTAAATAAACCGCGTTTATGAGGTAATTTACTTAAAAATACGAAATAAAATTTTCGCTAACCGAATAAAAATTAATCTGTGGCTTAAAATGCAAAATGGGCCCTTCTTGGATTAAACGTTCCATTTTTAAAATGCGTTTATTTGAATAGGACTAAAATATATCCTTTTACGTATATTTACTAACGTTTCTTTTTCTTTATTTATGAGTAATAAGTATATACTTTATTATCTGCCAAACTGTCACTTCTAAAATGTACCTACTAACGAAAAGCTTTTTTGTACATGGTAATCATTACAATCATTTGTTTCAGATAACTTAAGCGAAGTGTACGAATGAAGAGGTCATAGAAAACAATGTGTACTACACTTGTTGAAACAAAAACCGAAAGAGTGAAAAAGAAAAGGTTGACCGAATGAGAGAGCAACAATGGTGCCAATAGACAATATCTATGGTGTTGAGGTCACCGTGAAAGTGAAGTGGGAAAGATAAAGGTACTATAATTACATTTAAGCGACGCTTTGAACTTCCTTATCCTGCTAGGGTCGGTTTGATTCACTTTTTTTGCTTATAGTCGATGAAAATTCGATTTTCAAGTTTCGTTGGCCACTTTCATATGTTGTGTATTTGCACACCATAATAATAAAAAACGTGTGGCAGTCGGGGTCTGCCGCGGTAAAGCTATTGCATAGCATTTTTTATCAACTTATGCAATTATAATTATTTATTTATGCAATATTTTTTTCATCTTTGATATTAATTCAAGTTTTTTCTTTGATATTAATTCAATCTACCACTCTACCAGACTCAGACTAACACGCCTATATAGTCTGTCTCACTCTAGCCGCGTACCGGCTGCACCGGCCGCAGATGTGAGACGCAGTATGCGTTCTGTCCCGCTCTAACGCGTATTGGCCGCACCTATATTACGTCATCGTGTGTTAGGTTTATTTTCGTTACGAAATTTCTTGATTCGGTCGCCGCGCTCAAAGCCCGCGGTAAAATCTATGCGATAGCTTTAAAAGACTTTATTTCGGAGTATCTTCTCCAAGAATGGAACAAGATATAACTATAGTGGGGATGAAAAATTAAAGATAATGAAAAGATTTAATTTAAGAACACCTTATTACATATAGATACTCCGCCATTTTCTCCCTTTAAAAAATATTTATAGTTATTATCTGTTACTTGATATTGACGTATTTGTTTATAACCAGTTTTTAGATCTGTATAATGGTTTTTCTTACATATAATAAAATAAAAGAATCAAACTTAAATCTTGACCAAGCCGTGATTGCACTGCAACAATCAAAGCCCCAATATTTTCAATAACAGAAAAACAGAATAAATAAATGTTACCAGATTTCGCAATTTCGTTGATTTTATTCAATTTTTTAAATTAGAACATATTGCAAGCATAGAACAAAGTTTACCACCCTAATTTTCAGATTATAACACGTTCGTTTGAAAACGCCTACAGCATATTTAACTTATTTAATATGTTAGAGTTAATTATGAAATAATTATGTAATGTATTATAGTGATGTACAAATAAACCTAATGCACATTACGTGTTGGCGAAATTGAATACTTTTCATTATATTAATGTTCTACCAGCAATAGTTTCTAATAAATATTTTAGAAATGTTAAAGCGGTTCGTTTAAACAATATAAGTTAATACAATAATTTTATTTAAATAATATGTACATTATTTAAGACGTAAATATAATTTTATGTTATATAATTGGTAGGTATATAAGTTTTAAATTTTTTCGACATCCTGGTGAACAGACAAACATTGAAAAAAAAATTAATTGACAAACATTTCATTTTCACCTACATTATTTCTAATAAATTCAGCCTTGCTTGCCAGAATCTAATACTATATTTCACTGCTCCACGCTGTCTTTTAACGTTATTTAGGTATACCTATTTTTACCAAAAAATATAAGTCACTTTGTTACCTAAGCAAAACAGAACAAGTAAGAAAGGCAGATACTAAAGTCGGTTTATCTTAAAGTTAAATAATGATATTAAAATGCTTATCCATTCTAGGCTAGGCCTTATGGATCAAGTAAACGTGACAGTGAACGCAACAAACAACGCGACAGGCGTCAAAGATGAAGAATGGACGGACTCGGTGGCATTCAAGATACGGACCGCCATACTACTCCTGATTGTCATCATGGCTGTACTTGGCAACATGCTGGTCATCGTCAGTGTTATGAGGCACAGGTACTTACATCTATAGAAAACAGATATTTTGATATGATTTTCTACTATGAAAGATCTCAAACGGTCTCTTACCCAAAGCGTGGACGTAAACTATAATTGTTGTACCTACAGCTACCTACATAATATATGTTTAAAAAAAACATTATTTACTGGTTTAACTATTATGATCAAGTGTCTACGCGAGGTATATTAGTAATAGTTTTGTGCCAAGCATCCCGCTCACTAGTTCATCACAAGCATTTTATTTGTCAGTGTCAAATTTTTACGTCTAGTATGAAACAAGCACGCTATCAAAATCAACTCCTCCGCGAATAAAACCACTAAAATACGAAGCTATTTTCTTAGTAGTTGAACTAAAAAATTATCACTTTCTTTATTTATAGAAAACTGCGCGTAATCACCAACTATTTCGTCGTATCGCTTGCATTCGCTGACATCCTGGTAGCGATGGTCGTGATGCCGTTCAACTTCAGCGTGCAATTCTACAACGAATGGATCTTTGGAACTGTCATTTGTGATCTGTGGAATTCATCAGATGTCTACTTCACGTCTACGTCTATATTGCATCTGTGCTGCATTTCGGTGGATAGATATTACGCTATCGTAAAACCTTTGAAGTATCCCATCAAGATGACTAAAAAGGTTTGTTTTCTTTATCTAAAATTCACAATGAATATATTATAAGCCGAAGACGTCGAAAAAAAGGATGGATAGATAATTTAAAGGCTTTAAAATATCTTTTACACCTTGAATATACTTAATTATAAAAGAAGTTTATAAGTTATATAAAAACAACATTTACATGGCAAGGTAATTGGGATTGTTCATACCAAAATTTAAATCCTAAAATCTAGAGACCTAATAAAGCTGTTTAAAGATAGTGTCGTAGACTTGACACAAAATGTTTTACAATCTAAATTAGAAATTAAACGGGATTCGTTCGGCATCAAAGCTTATAGCTTTTCAAAAGCTTCTTATCCGTTATAACCATAATATTATTTCAATAGCTTTAATATTTACTTAAATTTCATTCCAAAGTTGATTTTCATCCTGTCAAAGAAATCTAAGTCGGGTAAAGAAAACAGCATTAAGCTTTTAAGTCATGATAATTAATACATTTAAGCCGCAAAACGGACGAAGTTTAACACTTATTATCTTGTACTTTAGTGGCTCCTATAAACTGTGTAAACCCTTCAAATAGAACCTTCTTATAAAGTATTACATTTAAACAAACTTAAGTTTTCTTTACAGAGTAGGATAATGAATGAGTTGCCTTTTTATTCATACCACTTGTTATATGCTAGAGAATGGAAATATCTTTTTAATAAAAAACGATTTTATTCGTGTAGTTTCAAATAAGCATCACCAGTTTTGCGTAGTGGCTTCAGCGTGCTACTCTCATGACGAGTTCGTAGGTTCGATCCCCGGCCGTTCACAAATAGACTTGCTGTCTATATGCGCATCTAACACTCGTCCGTATGGTGAAGGATAACATCGTGAGAAGCCATGTCTCATATACAAAAATCGACTACATGTGTCAGGTAGAAGGCTAATCACTTATGGCTATGAAATAATAAATGATGGAAAATGAAAACAATAAATATCTTATTTCATATTGCCAAGACCCATATAGGGTTGTAACGCTAGTGGATAATTATTATTATTATTTTAATAATAATAATCAGTGGCGCTACAACCTCTTTAGGTCTTGGCCTCAGATTTCTGAATCTGTTTCATGATCATTTTTAAATCTGATAGGCAAGTAGGTGATCAGCCTCCAGTGCCTGACACACGCCTTTGTCTTTTTGGGTCTAAGACATGTCGGTTTCCTCACGATGTTTTCCTTCACCGTTCGAGCAAATGTTAAATGCGCACATAGAAAGAAAGTCCATTGGTGCACAGCCGGGGATAGAACCTACGACCTCAGGTATGAGAGTCGCACGCTGAAGCCACTAGGCCAACACTGCTCTTATTATAAGTTTAGAAACTAAATAACGTAATGTTCTACATAGTTTGTTGATAAACAATTTTATACCACGTAAACATTTTTTCAGATGGCGTTTGTTATGTTAGCTGCAACGTGGCTGAGTCCAATAACAATATCATATGCTCCTATCTTTATGGGCTGGTACACCACTAGTGAATACATCAGAACAAGAGTACAAAACCAATGCGAGTTTAAAGTTAACAAGCCATACGCAGTTATATCAAGCTCCATTTCTTTCTGGATTCCTTGTACTATCATGATATTCACCTACTTGGCGATATTCAAAGAAGCAAACCGCCAAGAAAAAGCTTTACATGCACGGGCAGGCAATGCAATGTTAATGCATCGACATTCAAGAGAAGTTGGTGATAAGAATGGCGCACTTCACATCAATGCCACCACTCCAACCAAAGATAAAAATATCCTTAAAATGAAAAGGGAGCATAAAGCAGCCAGGACCTTGGGTATCATCATGGGAGCTTTTATTCTATGCTGGCTGCCTTTCTTCCTATTTTACTTGTCCACCTCGTTATGTGATACTTGTGAATATCCAGAAGTCTTAACTGTAATCATGTTTTGGACTGGTTACTTCAACTCTGCGTTGAATCCCATAATCTACGCGTATTTCAATAGGGATTTTCGAAATGCATTTAAGAATACCTTAGCTTGTGCGTTCTGTAGTTTCTGTCGTCGTAATTCGATGGACTCTAGTGCGCTGGAGAGGCTGGACAGGCGTAGTTCGACTCAACTAAGAGTGCCAGTCTCCTCGAGAAGACAATCGGATCTAGCATCCCTTTGAGTGTCGCCAAATTTTGAAATGACTACCGTTTGACGGGCCTAGTGAATCAACGAATATTACTGTACTTAGTGAAAATTTTAGTGAAATACAAGTTCCTTTGTTTAAAGATAATTTATTTTGTGGTAGATAAGTTGTTAGTTGTAAGTGTGAGTTGATTTTAGTTTCATGTAAATACGTAATAAATGTTAGTAAGGGCGATTGCCAAATTGAGATTTGTATTGTTAGTAATAGAAATTTTATAGTCGTAATTTAATATAGAAAAGAAAATAAGCAATAAGTAGCTAAAATCTAGTTACCGTAATAGGTGTAATTACTGTTGAAAGACTTGAAATTTTCTGTTAATTAGGCGATTGTGTACAGAACGTTCGAGACAAAACTAATTAAAGAGATTTCGACAGAATATACTTGCGATTTTAATATGAATATTTTTAGTTAGTTAAAAATACAAACCAGAAAATTTATAAGTGTAATATGATATGACATGATTTTTCGAAATACAGAGAATATAACTCATAAAAAAAACCTTAATTATAAACTAGTTTCGATTCCAAAACCGTTAAGTCTATATTCATATTTCAAAAGTTAACAAAAGCAAAAGGTTAAAAAGAAAGTAACATTTTTATTTTTATTCATCTCGCATTGGTTGGTTTGCATTGGTTCATAGAAGAATGAATCCTTTATTTCTCAATGTTAGCGTAATGTTTTGTTCGACAAGTTGTAAAACATTGAACAAGCTAGTCTTTAGAAATGCTTTGTAAATATTTATAATGTAAATATTTTAAGAAAAAGATTTTTATTCGTGGTCAATCGTTCTTTACACTATATTTATTTTCGATTCATAAACGTACCATAAATCAAACACCAATGTAATTCTAGTGATACGATCGAAGCTGGGTTTTTTTTAATGTCTGTGTTTTCTTCTAATGTTTTCTTCCGAAATTATCATTATCCTAACAAAACCAACAATATACACAGCACCATTATAATGTTTAAATGAATTTTCGTTAATAGTTTGTTGCTTGAATAAGATAGGTTATTAAAAAATTTCTCACGTATTTCGAGTATTTATTCTAAGGGAGTTGACCATGAATAAAAGACTTATAATTTAATTAAGGAAGATACTATAATGGGGACAAATAACGCTTCAATAGAAAAGGTTTTAAATAATTGATGTGCTAATAAGTATTGTCATTTATTAATGCGTTCACTTAAATAAAATACTGTTTTCACCTACTAAAATGCATCATTTGGTAGACGTATACCTAGGCATTGTTAGTGTGAAAAAGTATTATATATAAATGAACTTATAACTAACAATTCATTAGATTGATGTTTGGTGTCGTGTCAAGTAATTATTATTCTTGCTAACAATTTTTATCGATAGTGAACTTAATATTGAAGCCTTCAATTAAGCATTATCTTAAGCAAAATCGTCAACATTATAAGCGTATTAAAACAGTTCTCTATTTTAATCCTACTCTGTTTTGCATATAAGGAATGATGCACCAGGCTCAGAATTTGCAGTTTTGCGCAGCTCTGCCTAAGTCTTCCAACATGCCTAAGAGTCCATAAGAAGCAGACCTCAGACCGCATTGTAGGCAGGACAAATTACAACACATCGCGATCCAGATTTTAGCAAGCCCAACCCGCCAACACTGATATTAAACTGCTCGATAACCCGTCAAGCCATCGTAATGGAAGGAATGAAATTTATAAACATTTAAGAAAGTAAACATATGTTACAATTCGTTTTCAGATATGAAAAGGGCGTCAAATTAGTCTTGATATCTTTGAAAATTTGATTCACTATCGATAAATAATACCCGTCTTGTAAATCTCATAAAATCTGTCTGTCAATGTCCGTACATACTTCGCTTAACCTTTTCAAAATGGGAGAGGCTGTGACTGCTATAAAATGAATAAAAATGTATATAAAACAAAGTGCAATACTAAAAATTATGGGAAAGTATTCTTAACAAAATTAAACAAAACTATATGCAAATAACAACATTGATATATATTTTATTTTTAATGAATTTTCATTACATAAATAGATTGTATTAACTTTCATTTAATACGGAAATTAAATAAAAATAAACGATTTTAATAGCAGTCATAGTTTAAATAGTTTTTGTAAATTCAATGTCTTCCTTTGTAATTAAGGCTCAAATTAATAGCTAAAAAAAGATTATAAGTGATGTAACGAATTGGTATCATATGTGTCTATATTGTAGCCAATTAGTTTAAAAATACAGCTGTTAACTTAAGGTTTGAAAAAAACATCGTGGGACATGCAAAAGCCGTTTTATCGACTTTTATAATCAGTCGATAAAACAGAATGTAATGAGCTATATTTTAAACTATAGTCAATGTATTAAGAGTAATAATAAATGGTTGTGACTTCTATACTAAGTCATAATATACTTTACCGTTTAACTTCCTCTTTCTACCGTTGCCAACGTTGTTATGTTGCTAGGGTGTTAAAAATAAACTAATAAACTTCAATTTTGATGTGGCTAATTTAAAAGTCTGTTAACTTGATGTTTCTATTTAATTTGTACATAAATCTATTGCAATATTAGACATAGCTTGTTTCCTATTCTCAGGGCAAATAAATAATCATAAAATAATGTTAGAATAGTTATAGATATTCATGCCCAAAAGTGAGTAATGGTAGGTAAGAACTAGTATAGAATTTAGCACTCATTCAAATCTTGCCTCACTCGACAGATTTTTGAGAACAATGACGATCTAGAGAAACCCTAAATTAGAACCAAATAATTAATTTATCGATTAAAATTTTTGCCCCAATATTCTAATATTTTAATAACCTACGTTGATACATAATCTGATGTATAAAATATGTAAATTATGTAATTTTCGTTTGAGTCCGTCCAAGTAATTGTGTTTAGTTTTATTTTACTAATCATGTCGGGCATATTAAAGTGCTTCATTTTATGATTAACATTAATAATAATGAAAGACATAGAACTTAATAAATTATTTATTAATTAATCTACGTAATCAAAGATTTATGCCAAAAAACTGGCCACGCAAAGACGCTGTTTATTGCTCCAGACATGTTTTTATCGCGAAACAATATGTGGAATATACAATACGTAACAAGATCATAGACATTTAATAAGCCAACTATGTTTAATCAATATATTGCTGTGCAGCACTAAAACCTTTAATCAGTTATTAACTCGAATCATTTAGAAATTAGATTTCAATATCCTTGAATTTTATTTTTTTATTTTTAAATATTTAAAATTTTTTTATAGAACAGGGGGCAAAGTGGCAGGAGCCTCACCTGTTGTTGTGATACCGACACTCTTAATGCCAGAGAGCCCACGAGTGCGTTGCCGATTTTTTAAGAATTTGTACGCTCTTTTCTTGAAACGAAAAAAATCTTCATATGTTATTTATGTATCATGAAAATTCATAGTGTAACACAACGGTAGTACATTTCATTACCTGAATCATATTTTCTGTGAACGTGGGCCAACAATTACCAAATAATACGAGCTAAAAACAGCGTCATTTTCGATACATTTCCTTGTAAATATTAAAACATAGAATTGGATTAACATTTTAAATCTATTAAGTACTAGTAATAAAATCACAGCAATATGTAATTTTTAATAGGTCGGTGTAAGTAGTATGATGTATAGCATGTAGAGAGCTTTGCCGTTATATATGGTTTTAAGTACATTATCCAAGTTTGATTCGAGAGCTTTTAATGTGCATATTCGCTACTTGCGGCGGTATTGGGAAAAAGATTCAATATCTTTAGGTGATACCTTTAGTGGTTTAGTACAAACATACTCTTTATAAAGTTATTCATAAGAAAGGTGTTGCTACAGTTTTTATCTAAACAAAAGACTACTACATCTAAAAACCGTACAACCAATTAACTTCTAATGTCAAAAAGTCCCACACATAAATTACCAAAACTTAATACCTTTAAAGTGCGAACCAAGACACCAATTTGATAAGTCAATTGTCCCAACACATAAATTCCCGAAACTTAATACTCATTGCAAACCTACACGTTTGATTAATTTCTGATATTTCCCGGAATTAAAACTTTGTAGGATCCTAACAAGATTCACGATATGTTAGGCATCTTGCCAGGGCTTTGTAGGAAACCATTTATTACGTATAGCCGTCTGAAATAACGACACACTCTTGTTAAGTAATTTGCAATCTCATAATTGTTCCTATAGTTATATCTTATAGTTTTAAATCTTTCATTAAAAATGGTGTTTGTCACAGGACTTAAAAGTTCTCGAATGAAACTTTCAACTTTTCGGTGCAAGTTTAAAAGTGGAAGTGATAATTTTGATGCTTTTATAGATTATAATAACATATAAACTATGATTGGACATTTAGGTAAATTACAAAATAACTAATTTTTTTTTTTTAGTAAATTGTCATAAAACTGATTCGTTGACCCAATAAAATATAACCAGAAAAACCTTGTTTCTTTTTCGGTAATAATTGCTAAATATTTAAAACTGTAAGCCGCTCTGAAGTATTCTAACATTCAAACAGCTTTGTCGCACTCTTTTAACTGATTGAGTATTTTGTTTCTTTCTCTCAAATTGCGTTTACGCTGTGATGAAAAGAGACACAAGCAGACTGGTTTACTTAAAACGATATTGTGAAATTGGTGCATCAAAATTATCATTACTTACTTGCGCCATTATAATTTGTAAATATATTTTCACCTTACCTTGACTGTGATACTTGAAACATTATTTCTAACTTAATTAACAAACTAATATTTAATTGTGTTTTCTCGAGAGTTTGTAAATATAATTTAAGTTGTAGTACTTTTGGCGTATTCAAACGTAACTTTTTGGTATTTAATTATTTGTTTTCAAGGCTGTAAATGTCTTTAACCTTTACAAGAAGGATATATATGTCAAATTGCATTGTCATATATTTTTATAGTAACAGTTCTGATTCATTTGCATTATGAAGTACCTAAAGTC